GGCAACTAATCCTACATTTGCTTCTATCACTTACTGAGATAAAAATCACTAGATGAGATTCAGATGGGACATTATGAGTTTGAGATCCCACCAATTCAAGGGACAAAGACAGTATGTGGAGTATGTGGTGCCTCACGCATGCTAGGCAAGCGCTCTACCATTAAGCCACAACCCCAGCCTGAAAGTTTTGATTCTGTAGGTCAGAGAATTGAAATGCATTACAAATATATTTTTCATTAACATATAAATGGTGATTGAAATTGGGGTTAAACGAAATAGAATATACAATGAAAAGAGAAAATGATCTTATGGGACTCAAGATTTTATAGCAGAAATGAAGAGGAAAAAATCTTATTTTCATTTATACCTTTGTGCCTCCTCTTTTCAAACAGTGATCTCTCTCTTGATTCAATTCCATTCCTTCTATCTCATTCAGGTCCTTTATCAATTTTATAGAATCTCTTTCCAGTACCATTACATACTCTATTTCCTCTCTATCACTTTCTTACACACATCAACAAAACCTTTCCCCTTTGGATACAGACCAATGAGAGGGATAGCTGGGTCAAATGGTGGTTCCATTCCCAGTTTTCCAAGGAATCTCCATACTGCTTTCCATATTGGCTGTACCAATTTGCAGTCCCACCAGCAACATATGAGTGTGCCTTTTTCTCTACATCCTTGTCAACTCTTATTGTTGTTTGTATTCTTAATAGCTGCCATTCTGACTGGAGTGAGATGAAATCTTAGAGCACTTTTGATTTGCATTTCTCTACTTGCTAGAGATGATGAACACTTTTTCATATAGTTGTTGAACAGCATACCTCAGGGGCACAGCCACATCAATGTTTACTGCAGCACAATTCACAATAGCTAAATTGTGGAAGCAACTTAGACACCCTTCAGTAGATGTATGGATAAAAAAAATTGTGGTATATATGCACAATGGAATATTACTCAGCAAAAAAAAGTGATTAAAAACACTGGCATTTTTAGGTAAATGGATAGAGTTGGAGAAGATAATGCTAAGCAAAGCCAATCTCAAAAAACCAAATGCCAAATGTTTTATCTGATATAAGGAGGCTGCTTCATAGTGGGGAGGGAGGGGGAGTATGAGAGGAATAGAGGAACTCTAGATGGGGCAAAGGGGAGGGAAAGAAAGGAAGAGGACATGGGGTTAGAAATGATGGTGAAATGAGATGGACATCATTATTCAAAGTACATGTATCAAGACACGAGTGGTGTGAATATACTTTGTATACAACCAGAGATATGAAAAGTTGTGCTCTATATGTATAATATGAATTGTAATGCATTCTGCTATCATATATAACAAATTAGAATAAAAAGAATTAAAAAAACCCTTTCCCCAAACCTTTACCATCTTCCTCTGTTCTACTTCACAGCAAAGCTTTCTCAAATGTAAAATAATCTATTGGGGTTTTTTTTGGGGGGGAGGGGTGTGGGGGGTACCAGAGATTGAACTCAAGGGCACTCACTTGACCACTGAGCCATATCTCCAGGCCTATTCAGTATTTTATTTAGAGACAGGTCTCACCGAGTTGCTTAGTGTCTTGCCATTGCTGAGGCTGGCTTTGAACCCATGATCCCATGCCACTGGGATTACAGGCATACACCACCAAGCCTGGCCTAAAATAATCTATTATTATGCTATATTAAACATCACTTTCCATTCACTTCTCAATACAATTATTTGACTTTTAAGTTTGCTATTCCAGAAAAATCAGCCTTTAATACTCATAAAATAAACCACAATATTAAATCAAATGAACTTTCCAATCCTTATTTTACTTTTTCTCTATCCATCTTTTAAATATTGATATTCCTCAAAGTTTGTGATTCATTTTCACAACCAAAAACATACATACATACACACACACACACACACATACACACACATATTTTCTTGGTATCTTATGCCTTGTGATAAATCATCACTATGTACTTAATAATTTCAAATCTCTATCATTTATCTAATGATAAACACATAATCTACTAAATACTAGACATCCACATTTGGATACTCCATTGGTACCTAAAATAAACATGTTAAAAACAGAATTAAAAACCCAATTTATGATCTTTTCACCTAAAACAACCAACATCACAACTACAAAATTTTGCTCCTCCTCCTTTTTTCTGTCTTCCATAACTCACAAAGCTGCACTAGGCAAAACATATGGGTTACCTTTGATTCCTCCCCTCAACTTTCCCTATTCATGTCAACTCTACCCTCTGGAGTAATCGCTTCATCCATCCTGTTCTCTAAATCCCAATCACACTTGTAGACACTCATTTTTAAAACACACATTTAGTCATGCCATAATGATCAAAGAGAATGATGATGTCATTTTTGTCTTATATTTTTTTAAATGATTCCCAGTCCCTATTATTCTTTAAGGAAAAATAAATCCACAATTAAAAAAAAAAATCCATCAGAACTTTGCCTAACTTCTCCAAAGTCCTCAGAACACCTATATAGACCATGAGTAATAATCCCACAGTAGTATGAAAACAGACTTAATGAAGAAACATTCATCCAATTCTCAGTAATGGCTCCCATTCTCTTTAATGCTTATGTCTTCTTTATACCCTTCAAAACTCAGACTAAGCTTCCTCCTCATGAGAAATTTACCAAAGCTCCCTTCAGTCAGGTTGAGTTAGACAGCCCAATCTGTTCTTCATAGCACTTACTATTTACCCATCTATCTCCCCCAAATGTAAACTCAAATAGAGCAGAGACTAAATTATTTTTTTCCTGTAACCTAAGCCCCTTAGCACATGCCCTCAAATTCAGTATGTACTGAATAAATAATTGTTTGATTAATGGCATACCTTTTTAACTCTTCTCTATTTATTCCAATGCTTTATATTAAATTTTAACATCTATGACAAATTCAAGTACATGAGATTATTTGGAAGTGAAGTTTTTGTTGGTTTTAAAAAGAAGACAGATTAAATCAAAATTTTTCTATAATACTGTTATACCACATATATGTCCTAATTTCTTGACTGTCTTGATATGTATGTATGACATGCTTCCCAAATTATAGTCAAAGTTTGAAAATAATTCTTCCATGCTAGTAATGAGACAAACAAAATACCACTTGTTACCTTAAGACAACTAGAAGATTAAGAAAATACTACTGGAGCCATTCCTGTAATCCCAGTGGCTCAGGAGGCCGAGGCAGGAGGATTGAGAGTTCAATGCCAGCCTCACCAAAAAGCGAAGTGCTACTCAACTCAGTGAGAACCTGTCTCTAAATAAAATATAAAACAGAACTGGGGATGTGGATCAGTAGTCAAGCGCCACTGAGTTTCCACCCCCCCCAAAAGAAAATACAATAGGAATCAAAAGACTTTATAGTAAAGAAGCCTATAAAATTATCTGTAGTATTTCCAAGTTTTCAGATTATCAAAAATGCTCAAGTTTTTATTTGATAGTGGAATGCTTTGTCACTTTTCTTTCGGTTTCCCTATTGCTTATATACTACAGCACAAAATTAGCACAAACTACTTAATATGTTCTTTTTAAGAGCGATGCTGTTTCTATGCTTCAATCTTATCCCCAACCCATCCCAAAATGAGACCATTCTTATCACTATAGTCTGGAATGACAAGATTAGGTTTAAGCAGACAGTAATCATTCAGTGACTGAGAAATTTAGACTAAAGATCTGTACTGGTGAAAGTTTTGAAATAAAAGCAACTGTGATCAAAGCTTTCTGATTTAATATAATGTTAAACACCAGGAGGTTTTTTTTTTTTCCCTAAAATCTGGTTATTTAAAAAAAGAAAAAAGACAAAAAAAAAATCCTGCAAATGAAAAACTTCAGTCCCTATTTAGCAATACTAAATTCAATTTATCAAATAAAATGAGCAAAAAAGTTTCAACAGGTCATCCAGATGTAAACAATTCAAAGGCAAGTATTTCGGTGAAGTTTGGATGTATTTAAAAGGTACCATTGGTCAGATGAAGTGGTAAGAGCCTGAAGTCCCATCTACTTAGGAGGCTGAGGGCAGGAGAATCACTTAAGCCCAAGAGCTGGAGGTCAGCCTGGACAACTTGTTAGAGATCCTTGACCCTCAAAACAAAGTAAAAGAAAACACATAAAAGTTATCATAGATCATTGGTCAAAGTTAAGAGTAACCAGTGGTACAGGTGTGATTTTGGAGTTCTTTTTAAAGTTTGGCCATCTGTCAACCATGAATGCCTTTTAAAAACACCCACTCCCAACCCCCATATCTGATTTGAAAATTAAAAAAAAAAATAAATCCAAAACACAGCTCTAAATTACATGGTTTTTTACATATAAAATTTACACTGTAATAAGAAAGATTCACAAATTACTAGAGATCACAAATTACTAGAACTACACATCTAATATCAGGTTTTTTTTAAGAGAACTGAAGTATTTTCTATTATTTGCAGCTGCTTTATAACAGCAAACCACAATTAAATGTGTGAACAAGGTTGTCAGAGTAACACTTGTCATTCACACCGCTTATAGAAAGACGCTCCAAGATTTCCAGAAGCACTAATTAAAAATAACAAAAGCTTCTAGGGGGCACTTCTCAAAGATGTATATTTTATCAGACAGAGGAAAACAAAATCGTCTCAAAGTTCAAGAGTTTTTCACTCTAAAGTCAAACATCCAACCCAGCTATTACTAAGTACTAAAGAACTAACCCCAGCCGGTCAGTAAGCAACTCGTTAACAGTTACAGTCCTTTCGAGATAAGACAATCATTAAGAAAAAGGCCTCATGAGGAACGGAACGGATCTTCTTTTAGAAATCAGAAGAGAGAGGGTCGGGGGAAAATATCTCCCCTTTTTACTATCGAGAAAGGTAGACGTAAACTCCAGCTTCATCAGTGGCTTGATTAAATCCTTAGGGCTTCTTGCTTCACCAATCTTTTCTTTAACTCAACGTGAATGAAAGCAAGGAATACCAGAAGAAAGGTGAATGACATTACCCACCTCTGGCCCCAAAGAACCCGGGGAGACCCTCGAGAGAACCAAGACCCAAGACTCAGGTGGGCCTTTCTCACCTGGGTCCGACAGAAGTCCTCTGTCCTTACGTCTGCGCACTTTTCAGCAAAACGCCTTGAGATTGGTTGGCTCGTGAGGGACCTCTCAGTTTTATTGGCTACAGGAGAGACGGTCGGAGCGAAGAGGCGGGAGTTAGGCGCTGACTCTGACAGGCCGGCTGCCTGAGTTCCCAGGGCTCCTATTGGGTCAGCGCACGAGCCTCCAAGATGGCGGCAGAGGCAACCTGCGGCTCGGGCGCGGCGAGTACCAAGTCTGTGGCAGAGGCAGCCCGAAAGAGCAACATCACCAGTTTCCAGAGGAGGGGTCCTAAAGCCGGTGGGACTGAGAGCAGCGGCCCTCGATTGGTGTCTATTGCGGGCACTCGACCGTCGTTGCGGAATGGACAACTGCTGGTATCAACCGGGCTCCCCGCCCTGGACCAGCTCTTAGGTCGGTTCAGAACGGATGCGGGCTCACCGGAGGGAAAACTTAGGGAGGGGGCTTGTCGGGAGAGCCACCTTGGTCCCCGCCCTCAAGTGTTCCCCCTCAGAGACGTGGAAAGGAGAGCCTGGCTTGAGGGAGGGGAGGAAGGGATGCAAGATTTCTAAGTGCCTCTACTCTCTTCTTGCCTTCTGTCTATTAGCCCATTCGCAGATTAAGATGGGATCCCTACAGGCTTCCTAGTGAAAGAGAAGCTTTACTATATGGAAAATGGTTAGGCTTTCAGCTAGGACTCCCTCCTGGTGTCTGAGTACACCCCTCTCTCTGCCAACCTCAAGTAGCTCACTGCTCGCACTGAAGTACAAAGTTTTTATCCTTCTGAGAGAAGAGCTTTAATCAAAAATGCTGAAAAAATGTATTTCCCACTCAGTCACCACCAGGCTGCTTATTTCCTTAAATCTTAAATCAGATTGGTTTTAAAAAGACTGTATATGAAAGATGTATGTTGACTCAGTAGTTAAAGCCATCTTTTGTAATTTGATGGTTCAATTCCTATTTGCATGAAATATGTGCATTTTTAAAACTTTTTTTCTATATACATTTTGCTTCCCAGAGTTGGTTGCTGCTACATACCAATGGGTAGGTTTTTATTTAATGCACATCTTAACGGGAAGAAGTCCAGTTTCCTAGACTTTCCTTTATAATTTATGGAAGTTTTCATGAAAAGCCTACTGAAGAGTATGCTTGTTTAATAAGTGTTATGTTGAAAGTGTTGACCACATTAGCCTGGTAGGACGGATATGCTGTGTTAATAAAGTTTATTGATTAATTTCTGTATGAATGCTGCCTTGTTAAAATTAGTCTGTTTATATTTCATTACTGCTTTCATTGTATGTGTCTGTTATATCTGGTGCAGTATTGTAATATATTGCCCCTGCATTTGCTTGTCTTGCTACTTGACATTTTCCATAATCCGCCCCTCCCCTGCACCCTGCAAGGTAAGCTTTTCAAACATTTAGTGCAGAAGTAAGTAACAAAAGAAGCAACTTATGAAAAAGAGTATGGCTTCTCGATTCTGTTATTTTGAGTCCTAACTGGATCCCAAGTATTTCTTTATAAATTTAAGTATTTTCACTTAATTGTTTCAAGCCTATTGTCCTCTTGAGTTTCAATGGTACTCAAAAAAGAAATAATTCAAAATATATAGTTAGCAACTATTCATTTCACATTGTCTCCCTGTGAGCCTCACTTGGTGGCCTTCTATATTTGAACTTAAAGCTTCAAAGCTATTTCTAATCATTTTATACGTATATTTTTAATTCAATGGAAATTTGCAGTTTCATTCACTTGATGACTATTACTCTCCAAATAAAAAGGCCACAAATGTGGCACCATGCCTTCAATCCCTCATTAAAGTAACAAAATGTACCTAGCAAATTTCCTGGAACTTAATAGTTTCTTCATAAATTTTTTGTTAAAAGAAAAATAATTTGTCAGGAAAAAACATACAAGAGATTGTGAAACACATAGGATGGAGTTAGGTGTTACTTCTAAAAGCAAATTTAGGAGTAATATAAACAGTCACATAACTTGTGACAATGTGAGCTGATCTATAGGGTTCAAATGTAGTGTTCTGAATTAATAGCTATCTCATATTTTTGAGGACTTGTTTTCAAGGAATTTTGACCATTCATTGAATCTAACAGTGATTTAATTATAGTCTTCAAGTACCCACCAAAAAAGAAAACTCAAAGCACCTTCCACATGTGTTTCTACAAAAATATAAACTTGAACAGTAATTTTTAAAAATTCCAGATTTGTTTGGGGTGTGGAGAACTCTAGGATTCAAGCTTATGCTAAAATACATGCTTATGCAATAATTCATGTTCATTAGGATGATTGAAACTGTATAAGTTTTTGGATATTTTCAAATATATTTTACATTGATGCAATTCATTCTCAAAATGCACAGAAGTTGAACAGTTGGGATAATAAGAATACTACATTTGTAATAATAATTTCTCTAGAAGTATTTCTGTTGTTGTTAGTTTATTAATGACATTTTTGTATTTTGATTTTCTGTTTTGTGTGGTCCTGAGAGCAAACACTTCAGATTTATTTTATATGATTTGGAAAGTGAGATATTTGGCTACTAATATGTATACACACAAGTATAAGCAATTTAAACTCTATTTTTATTCTAATATAATATTTTACTCAGATTATGCCAAAACTAATTTAATGGCCATATTGTAATAAAATGTAATGGTAGTAGGATGTTATCAGAAAGATGAGACTGTACTGTGACATTGTGATTGCTGCCTAAATATATTGTATAGCTACTGTGTAACAAGTAAATACTATCTTAGAACAACCATGTAGTAAAAGGACATTTTACTACAGCCCCTATGACATCATTGTAATTTTAAATATAGATGCATGATACACTTGAAAGGCATCACACAGGCTAATTGAATGTTTGTTAGTCATCATATTGTTTTTGTTCTGACAACTTTATTGTCAAATTTGGGTTTGTTTCTCAAGTTGATAACACTTAAAATTTTTAAGTTCTTAGACTTCTTAATCCAATTTCTCAACCTCTCCCTTTCAGGACATTTATGTTGTTATTTAAGGACACTATATAAATAGCACACATATATTTCAGAAAATAAACGGTCTGGGTTAGATAGAGCTCCATTTCTCTTCTAAGAATTTCCACTGAAAGATTATAGCAAATAAAGTATGTCTAACCCGGAAGATGCTTGAGGAATGGTGATTGTGGGTTTGGCTAGCTTACCACTCTTTTATTCAAATTTATTAAATTGACAGTCAAGAAAATGGCAGGTAGGGATTCGAGGTAAATAATAATCCAAGGAGAGTTCTTTGGAAAAAGCCTGTTATGACAGTTTCTATTTTCAGCACTAATTTCGAAAAGTGGTCTTTCCTTTACTATATCTTAATCGTAGTGTGGAATAATATACCTTGAGTGTAGACTATATATTTAGCATAATCCTGGTTGTAATGTTTTAGAAATTGATATAGACAGCTATTCCTTTGTATTACTAGGTAAAACTGTTTCATGTGATTTAATCTACAGAATATTAACACTGTTAATAGCTTTATTTTGATTCCCATATTGCTCAGACAATAACTGTGTCATCACCTGTCATCAGGATGTTTCATAACTCTTAGGAAAGAAAAGGTAGACATGCTAACAAAATAACTTCAACTTAATTTGAGATGTGGCATGGATTTAAGTACCTAAGGATATTACTGTGGACTAAGGAAAAGATACGAACTAATTTTTAAATTGCATTTTCCCCAAATCGTCCTTCTATAATTTTAAGCAAAATTATTTCTTTATATGGTGGAAAATACTGGTATAAAGTATTATCACTTCTGACTTTGAAATATTACTCTGGTCCATACTCTAGTGTATTAATTTGACCTCATTTATCCAAATTTATAGTTTAATTACAAATTTGTTTGGGTTGGTATGTGGAATTTAATTTTCTCCCTTTAAAATAGTACTGAAATCATTAACTTCTACCCATTAGAGTTAGAACAAAAGCACAAGATCTTTTTTTCTATTTTAAAAACCATAAGCTTGGTTTTCAAAGCTTTAAAATCATTAATAAGTTGCAACTTTCCCAATGACCAGCCTTCAAAATGACCTACTCTTATTAGACCCAATTTAAATTTGAATCAAGTGAATGAATATACATAATAGAACTCATTTGGAAAAAAGAAAACTTGCCTTTTTATAAGGGAAGTCCTGATAAGATATTATTTTGGCTGATAAAAAGTCATTTGATAGGTCCCATTTTTATGTTATCTTAAGTAATGTTCAATTTTTCTAAACATAACAATTTTTATGACCATGAGATTTTTTAGTGGTGTTTTCCTGAAAAATCAGGAACAGAGGATCATTTGGATTGTTTTTTTACAGAAAATAATTTTCCTAGTTTAGTCAGGTTTGTATAATGCTATACTTAACCAGTTCATTATTGAGACATATTCTTAGTAATTATTACTATTATAGAGATCACCATATATCAAATAACAATGAATTTTAGTGATATCTTTAATCTGAAATTAATTACCAGAATGGCAAGGGTGGCTTGTATTGAATACCTCTCTGGGAGACACACCTGTCCTTTGTGTTACCTCATTTAATTAGGAAACTTATCATCCCACCTTGAATGTTCAAAAGTCCTGTTTCAGTGGAGGTTATATAAAAAAACTAAATAGGTTAAGGAAATAGATTAAGAAAGGCAGCGAACTTTTTAAATATTACCTACCCTAGCCTAGATACTGCAATTTCTGTTGTTTATTTTATCTTCTTAAACTTATACAAAATGGCTTTAGGGAAATTAAATGTTTATTTTTCTAAATAAAAGGTAGGAAAGTAAGCAATTGAAAAATAATGTAAAATGTTTAAAATGTTAGTAGTGATCTCTATGTGCCACAAACTCTGAAATTAAACATTCAGTCCAATCTTTTGTAAAAGCAAACCCTTTTGCTCTGATACTTTATGAATGCTATCATCACATGCATTTCAGGTGAATATTTTCATCTGAACAGTTCCTTAGTCTGGTGTAGCTTTTAAAGGTATAATAAAGAAATGTGCCTAGATGTGAAATTAAAATATATACTCAGTTCTATAATAAATCCACTTAAACCTAAAATATGTAAATGTCCTAATTTTTTAAATTTTTCTTCTCTCACAATGTGAAATGTTCTACATGTTGTTTTAAAATTTATTTCAAGTGTAATTCAGTCTGCATAAACCACATTTCATTTTATTTTGGGTATACCTATGTTACCAGATGTCAAGTTAAGTTTTTCTACATGATGTCTTCCACTACAGAATTTTTTCAGGGAAAGTGTTTTATTGGTGTTCTAAATGTTTCTTTCACAGTTTTGTGCACATACATATACACACAAAACTAATAATATTGTCTTCTCTTGCCCAACAATTTTGAAAAATTTCTTTTTAAATTTTACTTCAAATATATTTCTCTTCTTTCTTTAACATATTTTTAATTTTAAAGTTAATTTGATCACATCTGAGATATTAATCATAAATACTAATACTTTTACAAATCAAAGAACAAAGTATTGAACTGTCTCAAAATTTTGGTATACTTTTAGTTTTCCAAAACTTAAAATGATTTTAAATTATTTACTATTTGAGTTGTGTATTCTTGATTTGATATGTAAAAAAACGTTCTGGTAATATTGAAATGTATTTTGCGATTTGTCATTTTCTGTTTGAAATGGTAAAAATACTGTTAATTTTAAATTCTAAATATATTTAAAGCATGTCAAGAGTGTGTATATGTTGTTCATAGTTTTTAGTAATTAGTTTTAATTATCAATTTTCTTCAAGCCTTACTAAATTTGAGGATAAATATTAAATTCAAATTTCCATTGTAATAGCCTTTCTTTTCTATATTGTACTTCTGTAGTAGTTAACATTACTGTGCACATTTGGGTCTTTGCTATTGAGTTTATTTAATAGCAACTGCTAAATATAACATTTTTGGAGTGCTTAACCAGAGTTATGTCGAAAGCTGCATGGTTCTATTGCAAGAGAAAGGAGTCTAGTATGGTATTTTATGAAAATAATTGTAATGTGTGGTATATAATTACATGTAATATGTAATTATTTCATAATAGTACCTTTAGCAAACTATTGCAAAGGTAATTAAAAATATTGTTCACAACTGCAGTTTTAAAGTTATTGAAGTACCTGTCCTATATATAAAAGCCTAACTTTTATGCTAAAGATAATGCAAACAGTAGATTAATTTTCTTCGTGGTTTATTTCATTTCCAGGTGGAGGTTTAGCTGTTGGAACCGTTCTTCTGATTGGTTAGTATAAAATACATGCTTTGTTCTACCTCATCAGTTTTCTGTTGTGTGTCATGGTTTTTATGGTTTTTCTCATTCTGAAATTAAATATTTAAAGTATTAATTCTATAGAAGTTAAGGTGAATTACAGAGAAAGTGCCTTAAATTCTAATTTAAAGTTAGTGTTGATCTGAACTTGAAATGAACTAGGCAAGTATATCTGAAAATGTAGAACTTATAACTTAAAAATCTTCCCAGTTGCCATGTACGGTAATACACACCTGTAATCCCAGTGGCTCAAGAGGTTGAGGCAGGAGAATCATGAGTTCAAAGCCAACCTCAGCAACATCGAGATGCTAAGCAACTCAGTGAGACCCTGTCCCTAAATAAAATATAAAATAGGGCTGGGGATAAAAAAAAAATGTGGCATATATACACAATGGAATTTTACTCAGCATTAAAAAAGAACAAAATTATGGCATTTGCAGGTAAATGGATGGCGTTAGAGAAGATAATGCTAAGTTAGCCAATTGCAAAAAAAAAAAATGCCTAATGTTTTCTCTTATATAAGGAGGTTGACTCATAGTGGCATAGGGAGGGAGAGCTTGGGAGGATTAGATTAGATCTAGATAGGGAAGAGGGGTGGGAGGGAAAAGAAGGGGGCAGGGGATTAGCAAGGATGGTGGAATGTGATGGTCATCATTATACAAAGTACATATGAAGACTTGAATTGGGTGTCAAGATACTTTATATACAAACAGAGATATGAAAAACTGTGGTATATATGTGTATTAAGAATTGTAATGCAAAAAACAAAGTACATGTATAAAGGCCAAAATTGCCATGAACATACTTTATATACAGAAATACGAAAAATTGTGTTCTATATGTGTAATAAGAATTGTAATGCATTCCACTGCTGTCTTGTATTTTAAAAATAATAATAAAATCAATAAAAAATAATAAAATAAAAAATAGATAGAGCTGGGGATGTGGCTCAGTACCCAAGTGTCCTGGAGTTCAATCCCCAGTACCAAAAAAATAAAAAAAAAAATCTTCATAGTGTGTTGTATCCCATTTTAGAGTCAATTAATTATTTGAATAATCTCAGTATTTAGGGTGAGATTATTATAGTTATTAATTTGAAAAATGGAAATGCTAATAAGTCCATTGTATGTATATGTTTATGTATGTACACGTATATGGATATCACAGATATGGTATATATCACAGATTTTATCATCATTAAAAAGAAAGCTAACAAACTAATTGTGATTTTTTTTTATTGAAAGAAAGCTAACTAACTAATTGTAATTTTTTTCATGCTTCAAGTGATGAGAATTCTCACTTAAGTATATAATCCTATTTGCCTTACTTTTCAGAATTGATCATAGAATCTTGGAAGTGAAATATACCTTGGTAGTTACATGATCAAAGCACCTTATTGATATTTAATCCATTTACCTGTAACATATTTATTCTTCCTAGTTTCATACTCTGATATAATATAAAATAATCCACACTTAAAATACAATACACACTTAAAATATTTGAAAATAGCTATTTCATCACCTCCGATCTTCTCTAAATAGACACTATTTCTTTCCTTGGATTTTGTGAAATTTTGTTTTCACACTCCTTATTCTCCTCACTGTTTTTTGATGGGCCTCCTAGACTGACAGTGTCTCTTTAATTGTATCCAGAACTGAATATAGTATTCCAAATTTAATTTGACATACTCAACATGGTGAGACTATAAAATATAATAAATTAACTTTCTGAAATCATACTATTTAATAATTTTGTTCCTGTTTTCAGTTAATCATTAACTTTCGTGTGGCTCTTGAAATACCAGATAACTCTCATCTCACACTTCACAACACTGTATATTATCACACATTTTAATATTTAGATTAAATTAGCAGATTAGCAGTCCCATTTGCTAGGCTCTTCATTCTCCTCTGTTCCCAAGTCAATATGACTTATACTATAAATGAATCTGCCTTCAGAAATGGAAAAACAGTTATAAAACACAAGCTAAATATGGGAATTTAAGGTCAGTGGTTAGGATCCTAGGGCACTGCTATGTTTCTCATCACTGAAAGACTATTTTTATTCCAGAAGTAAGAGAAAATTAGAGCATAAAGTTTACCTGTATTAAGTTTTCATTATAATTTTCCAGCTTTTTAACCATTTTCTCATGAAGTAGATTATTCATTTACCAAGGCAGTTATATATGTAAGTATATACCTCAGTTTATGTGTGACCTTTCAGAATAGTATATTTACAATTTCAGTAGCAATGTACCATGGAAACTAGATCTAGTGAACACTACCAGAAAAAGTCTGCTTTAGACCTTAGAAATATTTCAAAATAAATAAATGTGAATTTATGAAAGACCATTCTCTGAGAAGTAAATTATGGAAAAATAGACATTTCTTAAAAATGTTTAATTCTTTAATAGTGAAATTGGCTTTGAGATATTTTATATTGAATTTGCTTTCTGATAGTCTGCTACATAGGGAAGTTAAAAGTACCAAAAGTAAAGTGATGGCAAATGAAAGATCTTCATCCATTTGTGGAGATATGGACCATCAGACAGGTTTAATAGAAGTTGTCATTAATTATGCAAGTTGTGTGACATTTACGAATATATTGTTTTTATCATATTAGTTACTTAATTTTAGTTCTAGAAATAGCAGTAAATGATGTGCTGTTGGAAAATTAGTTACAAATGGCTCAACTTACATCCAATAAATATACCCATCAAGTCAAACCGTTATAAGCTGAGGCTGTTCTCTTGATGGGCTTTTTGTATGTTATCTATTCCTAACAATATTTACACACATTTATTAGCTTAAATCAACACAAATTTGTTATCTTATAATTTCTGTGTCTCAGGAGTCTACACACAGCTTAGCTGAGTCCTTCATAAGCCTGGAGTCAAGGTGTCATCCAGGGCTAGGTTCTCATCTAAAGGCTTGGCAAGGAATGAATCTGCTTCTGGGCTCACATGGTTGTTAACAACATTCATTTCCTTACTGCCTGTCAACCAGACTGTCCTCCCTTAGGGTAGCTCACATGATAGCCTCTTATTTCATCAAAACCAGCAAGGAAGAGTATCTCTTAGCAAGATATCTTAGTAACAGAAGTGGCATCCCATCACCTTTGCTCTTGGTTAGAAGCAAGTCACAGTTTCTATTGCACCAGGGGGAAGGAATTACACAAAGACATGAATACTAGGAAGCAGGAATCATGGGGATCACCTTAGAACATGTCCACCACACTTTTTTCATAGCATTATATCTGAAACCCCTTGAAAAAAGAAGAAAAAAACAACACCAAAAACAGTAGAAGACAGGAGATAATTAAAATCAGAGCTGAAAGAAATGAAATTCAAACAAGAGAAACAATCCAAAAAACCGACAAAACAAAAAGTTGGTTCTTTGAAAAAAAAATCAGTAAAATTTATAAACCCTTAGTCAAGCTAACAAAGAGAAAGAGAAAACTCAAATTACTAAAATTCACAATGAAAAAGGAACTATCACAACGGACACTACTGGAATATGACAATAATCATAATTTTAATTTATTATTTTTTTGTATGATAGTAAACACTAAGCACTTTCAGGTTTTCTCTCATAGGATATGACATTTTCTTATCAATTTGCTTCATCCCTTTTAAAATTGCTGAGCTATATTTTTTCTACATTATGTAATAAATTTTGAGTATTTTATTATGCTGAAATTGTCAAACTACAGACTGCTGGCTGGCCACTATCTCTATAAATAAAATCTGTTGGAATACAGGCATACTTGTTCATTCAAACGTTTCTATGGCTGCTTTCATGCTTTAAGGGCAAGATTAAGCAGTTGCAAGAGAGACTGTATGGTTGTTCCACAATCCTAACATATTTATTTTCTGATATTTCTTTAAAAAGCTTACCAATCTCTAAACTATATTAATATTTTATATTCTTAATTTATCTTGCAGTAGTACTGTACAACTTTGTTAAAGAACTGAAATAGTATATCCTTCTACCAGAGCAGTTCTTTAGTAAAGCCACCTTACCTTTAGTTAAGTTTCTACAATGTGTTGCACACTATTAGGCAATAAAATCTTAATTGTACCTTTTATGAACTTAAACTGGATGTTGGTTGCACATGGAATAACTGCACACAATACATATATAACATGTAGATGTTTATGCAAATGTAAGAGGTGTGGAATAGGTTTAAATTTAATCAAAGTATAGATAGAAATAGTGATAAAGGAAGAATTTACTCTTATGAAAAATAATGTTAACAAATGCATAAGAGACAGCATCAGCAGACTACGCTTATATAATAATGACCTGACTGGTCCTTCTAAAGTAGAAAATGCCTATTTAGGACTAGTTCAAAAGTTTATCTTACTTCCTGTGGGTCTCTTGCCTCACCTACCTATTTGTTGAATTCAGACTATAAAACTTCAGATCTCTCATACCAGCCCCTAAAACTGCAGTGTGTAAAGTAACCAGGGGACTCCTAAAAGTTTTCTTTGTTGAAACTTTATAGCCTGCTTCACCTAAGGAGGTGAAGCCACTATAACTTTATTCATGGTCTAAGAATTCAGTTATTCCAGTAATCTTATCTCCATAATACTTTCATCTTCACAATACTGTATTTTTTCTCTCTAGGTTTAATTTTCTACTCTTTGATTCCATTCAGACCTTTCCAATTTGCTCTCTGTAACACTAACTTCTTGGGAAACAAACTAATATCCTAAAATCTTATCATTATGTATTTTATTGAAACATTTAATATTTATTGGGGTCTGTTTACCAGGCATCATGCTATGCCATAAACATATCTCTTTTTTGTCATCTGATTTAGCAACATTCAGGTGAGATGTCTACATTTTATAGGTGATAAAATTGAAGATTTGAGAGAAACTTAATAACTTGCCCAAAGTCACACACATAATGGCTTCCTCGTCAACCTTAACATTGCTGTGACCAAAAGACCTGACAGGAACAACT